ATGCCACATTTATGGTATCCAATAAGAACTATTTTCTGACAGCTGCTTTTTACTCAATATTTACGGTGTACTAGGTATGAAATGATTATATGTATGTTGTTTAAATATTTAGTTAATAAACAAAAACAAAGGAATGAAATTTCACATTTAGCTATGTAGAAAAAAGTGATGAGATACTTTGTTTTGAAAAATTTTGAAAGACAGACTTATAAAATATACTATACAATTAGAATTGGAAAGCTATTTTGAGAAAATTAAATTTTGACAGTATATTTAAAATGGTAATTAGCCACTTTTGGGAATCATAGTAATTTAAAAGAAAAGCAAGCTAAAGCTACGGATTTATGAAATACAATAGATTTTATTGTTTCTGATCAAATTTTTAAATAACTTTTGTCTGATTATTAATGCATTATATATTCAATGTAGATAATTATAAATAAGCAAAAAGAAAATTAAATTTACCCACTACTCTGAGATGATGAGCATTTTACTAATTAAACTTGTGGATGTATTTATATTTTATATGCATTAAAATCACCTTTTCCTATATTGGAGAACTCTAACATTTATACATTCTGGAAAAGGAAAAAAAAAAAAAAAAACCGAAAAAACCAAACAGAAATTCACTTTGTATTTTTTATATACTCCATAATTTTTGAACCATGTGAATGTATTACTTACCTTCCCACCTGCAATAATCCACACAATTCAAATAGATACACAAAAAATAATATGGTGTTCTTTGTGGTTTGGAAACATTTTATAAATTATAAATGGATTGCCTTTCCTATGCAGAGATGAAACGTGATCAGGAGGTAGGAGACAAACCATTTTGTTGACCTGGACAGATACTGTAGCAGTTTGGCCTTTCTCTCTCATTGTCCCTATGTTTGTAATTTCACACTTAATTTTCATGGATTTTGGACCTGATGGAAACAAAATTGCATTGTTCCTTCTAAAAAGTTTGAATAATAATCAACTGAACAATTATGATTCTATTAAATCATTTTACTTAGAACAAATACACACCATTATCTTCTTCAATTCCAACGGGGCCTGCTTGAGGGGTCTCCCCATTCTTTAAACAATTGTGGATGTACGTTGCTTTCCACCTTGCATATTTCCTGTGTTTCACATTCTAAAAGAGAGCATTTTAATATCAATATTGAACTACAGCAAAAAAGCAGAAGGTAAACATTTATGATGACCCATACCATATTTCTGACATAAAATCTATTTTTGCAGATTATAGTTCTGAAAGAGTCTGGGAATCTCCTTACTCTATTGCTGGATTTACCAATCATTTAGGGCTTGACAGACTGCATGAAAAATCTATCTTCCTCAAAACACATGCCCAGTTCTCTTTTACGATTTCACATTTCAGAAAAGATCTGCAGTGGAAATACGGGAATGTCCAGCCAGCAAAATCTCAAACTCTTATGCACAGGGAAAACTAGTCTAAACGGAATTTTAAGATTAAATATAAAAGATAATGATAGATTGAACTATTTTCCCTAAAGAGAAAAAAACAAGATCTATACAAATCTATGAAACTAAAGGAAAACTAAGATGATGTAGTGGTTAAAGCAAACACTAGACTGATTGGCATGTAAACCTGACTTCTTAACTAGTCATATGCTAGTTAACAACTCTGAACCTCAATTGCCTCAATCTAAAAAGGGAATTTGTAAGGAGAACTGAAAATGTCATTGAAGAGTCTGCTAGTTGGCTCTTTTCCCCTGCCTTAAAATTTATGCTCCATGCTATAAAATACAAGAGTAAAATCTCTTAGGATTGTGGATGGGCTGGTGACTTTTAGTTTATATTTTGAATTGATTGATCTTTATATAATAATACTCACGAACCAATGGCATTGGTATCACCTGGAAGCTTGTTAGAAATGCAGAATCTTTAAGCCCATCCCAGATCTACTGAACCAGAATCTGTGCCACAAGATCCCCAGGTGATTTGTACACCTTAGAGTCTGAGAGAGCACATGGTTCTACTATACTGAAAACAACAGTATTGGAAATAGAGTAGCATTTTGCAAAGATCCATTAAGTCATGGATAAGTACAAATATAGCATATGGTCCAGATACTTAGTTGAGTATTTATATAATGTGAGTCTCCAGATACTACTACAGATAACTTCTATATAGAAACCTAAAAAAAAAGTAACCCTCAAATTACTGAATTATATTACGTTTCATTTCCCTTTCCTTACTAGACACTCCTTTTATATATTCCATTAAAAAATTCCATACATTGATTCCAATTTTCCTCTATAGGTAGGACTATAGTTTTTTGTTCCACTTCTCAAATAAGTTTTTCCAAAGAGTATCCACATTGAAAGTCTTCAACTTCTTCAACATTCTGTTCACTCTGGAGGGGAAGGGAAGAGAGTTCTCTTTCTTTCTTTCCTGTTTAATTCATATTCTCAAGTCACACAAAAGTCAGAGAATTTGTATACACCTGTGCTTTTTAATGGCAGGGAGCCCACATGTGCCAGCCTGTACCTCACCTAAGTCATCAATCACTTGCGGAACTGCTCTGCTAATGTTACCAACAGCCTGCTCCACACTGGAAAATCCAAGGGACGCTTTTCAGGCACCATTTTACCAGATCTCTCAGCAGTATATTAAACTTTGGGATATTCCAACCTTTGTGCAACATTCTCTATCCATGGCTTTTGTGACACTCTATTTTCCTGGTTTCTCTCCTATCTTCTTGGCTACTAATCCTCTATCTGATTTCCAAATAATTTTAAGCACCCTGTCCTAGCAGAAACTTCAAACTAGTGGGCTCAACCGATGCTGATTCATATAGAATTTTAAATATGAATTGTTTTCTATATTTAAATACTGGGAAAGTTATAGAAAATTCAAATTTCTAACTTCTCTTTTTTTAAAAAAAGGAAGATCCCACATTGCTAATGGAAGGTCTTAATTAATAGCAGAATTTATTGAACATTAAAAATGTTAAGGTTAATGATACATAGCTTATGTTTTCCCTGAAAGAGGGAAACAATGTGAGATGTGTAAAATAAGTTGATATATTATTTCCACTTTCAGGGAGCTAATCATCTTTCTATGGATACGGAATTAAAATAGAAAAGAATATCACTATATAAAAATACAGTAAGTGGGCTCACGCCTGTAATCCTAGCACTCTGGGAGGCCAAGGCGGGCGGATTGTTTGAGCTCAGGAGTTCGAAACCAGCCTGAGCAAGAGCGAGACCCCGTCTCTACTAAAAATAGAAAGAAATTAATCGGACAACTAAAAATATATAGAAAAAATAGCCGGGCATGGTGGCACATGCCTGTAGACCCAGCTACTCGGGAGGCTGAGGCAGAAGGATCGCTTGAGCCCAGGAGTTTGAGGTTGCTGTCAGCTAGGCTGACGCCATGGCACTCAAGCCCAGGCAAAGGAGTGAGACTCTGTCTCAAAAAAAAAAAAAAATACAGTAAGTAGAAGTATTGTTTCTTATAGTAAGTATATGGAACACTTCAGAGAATAAAAAAAAAAATAGAATAAAGGGTAACTGGCAAAGGAAATGATACTTTAGTTTGGCCATGCAGGATGAGCATGATGTGAAAAGGTACAAAGAAGTGGTTAAGTCTATTCTGGAGAGAAAAAAATATGAACAAAGTCAGAAGGGCAGAAATAAAAGAAATATTTGGGGAATCAAGATAAATAAATCAATTTGCCATGGGTAGAAGATATATATTAAGGATTAGTTGGATAAGTAACATCAATCCAAGAAAAGATTGACGTCTTGGACTAACATCTTTATAGCACTCTGCAGGTTATAAAACACTTCCACACATTTTCCTTCTTACTCGGTCCTCACAATAACCTTGAAATTTAGGCAGGTCATGTTTTATTCACCTTAAGGCTCCAAGACATTAAAGGACTGGCTCAATGTAAATACAGTTTAACCTGGCATTCAAGGCCCTCCACACCGTGGGTACCGTTTCAGTTTTAAGTCCCTCAGTCAAGATGGGACTCTGTCTCATTTGCATGCTTTTCTTATGCTATTCTCCCTTATCTAATATGCTTTCCTTTTCTGTGAAATCTCCTCTTCTCCAAGGCTCAGCTCAAATGTTTATTCCTTATGAAGCTCCCTGAGTTCCAGCAAGTCAACAGTTATTTATTATTTACTCAAGGTCAGGCACTATGCTAAGTGCTGGGGATCACAGGCTGAACAAGTCAGGCATGAGCTTTAGAGTCCAGTGTGAAAGCCAGGCAATAACTGCCATCCCTAAATGTGGCACATGTCTTAGATAAGTCCCATAGTATGTCTTCATCTTTCTTTCTTAGGACTCTACAATCCCATCCTTACAGAGATGAAGAAATGCTAATTATAAAAGTAAAATGGACACACTTGAAGCTCGGACTTGGGGCGGGGTAAGGGCACCATACGTAACCTAATCATCTGTACCCCCATAACATGCTGAAATAAAAAAAAAAAACGTAAAATGACTTCCTGAAGGTCACATTATTTTAGTAGTAAAGTTAGCCACTCAATTCAGGGCTGCCTTGGTAAACTACAGTTACCACATTGCAATTTGCAATTCAATGAAAATACGTGAAATAAGAGAAAATGGGCTTTAAAAGGTCAGCTACTTAATGCATATTAATGCAGAATATACTTTTTGGTAATTACAAAAAAGACCATTTTAAAACTAAATGAATAAATTGCTTAGGAAAGTTTAAGTTGCTTTTGAGATTTTTAAAAACAGGCCAAATTTTGCTCCATCTGAAATAATTTGATCCTGTCTAAAGACTTAGTGGGAAAGTTGTAATGACTTTAGAAGATTCTTTCACGCCTAATTTCTTAGTATGAGCAGTGTAGAGAAGTGAAAATCACTTTGGGTTTCTTCATTAGTATGTGAAATTTGATAAAACATTATTCTAAGCTGAAAAGGGTCATTTAGTAAACACATTTTTAAAAACTTCCCCCAGAAGTATAAAAAGTAACATAACTTTGATTTTGATTTCACGGTTTCTAAGATACCTCTATTCCTACAAACTGGTACATGTAATATTTAGCGGAAATTTCTGGCAATAGTAACTCAAAACTAATTTACTTTTCAATGCTGTCTTCTTTAAGATAAAAGATGCTAGATATTAAACAATATTTTAAGAGGAAATTTTCAAGATGTCAATTTTTTGAAATCTGTTAACTCCTTTTGGCTGATGAGACATTCTTTCTGGGAAACAGGAATTGCAAGAACTTTTACTTCTGTCCTTGGCCTCTAAGTTCTTGTTTTGTAACTGAAATGATGAGAATTACTGAAAACTGCAAATTTTGGACTAGAGTCAGCAGCAGTATACATCAATTTTCATTTAATTTTTAAATCACTTGCTACTCTGAACAATAATAAATACCAACCAGAGGCTGCAGCAGGTGTGCTCAAACTTAGTGCCTATAAGAATCATGTGAATGTAATAAAAAAATACACTCCTGGCCGAAACTATGAAAAATCTGATATAAATCATTCTCCGTCAGCATACCAAAAAGCTACATTGAAAGATAAGGTTTTATTTACATTAGCAGTCTCCAATTCTTCCTCTTTGATTTTTATCTTCAACCCATCCTAGGCAGGTTTTTATCCCCACGACCCACTGCTACTACTTTTGTCAAGGTTATAGATTACTTCTATATTGCTAAACACAATGCTTAGATGTCATCTTCCTTGACCCTATCAGCTCGAATCAGTGATCATTTTGCTCTCTTTGATCCTCCCCCTACCCCCACATTCTGCCTTTTCACTTGGTTTCCTGATTAACAAGGTGTCTCCTGGTTTACCTTTTCTCTTGCTGTGCTCCTTCAGTCTTTCATACTGGTTCTTTCTTATGTCTCATGGTCAAGAGTGCCCCAGACTTCAGTTCTTGGACTTCTTGTGTCCTTGTTCTAAACTTTACCTTGATGATCTCGTGCAGTCTAATGACTTTGAATAGCACTTCACGCTGCCAACTCCCAAATTTATACCTTCTGTTCAGACCTCTCTCTCCTTCGCAGCCAGCTAGCTATTCGTGTGCATCATCCCCTTAGTAACTGTGCAAGGAGGACCACAGTGGGATCCAAATAGGATCTAGATCAATGCCAATCAAAATTTGCTCCCAGAACCAAT